CCCGGGATGCGGTGCACCTCTAGGATATAGCCGTCGTCCGTGTTCACGCTGTGGGTCTCGACCGGGTAGCCCCACATCGTCACCAGCTCGGGCTGCGCGGCGTTCAACACAATTATTTCCTTAGCGATGTCCCCGAACTTGGCGGAGCACGCGGCGCCCCAGAAATTACGTATTATCGAGTGGTTCAGGAGTTACTTTTATCATTAGACTACTTTACAATGCTTTCCAGTTACGCCACTTCACTTATTGCACCCAGTGGGTTTAGTAAGACGTGTCTTGGAGGCCTTAATAACATCTAGGGTGGTCCACACGGACCCCGGTTCTGTACCCCATGGAGGACGCGTTGTCTACTCGCAAGGGTTAGGTAAGCCGTAAGCCCTCGCACGGACAGTAACTACGAAAAGTCTTCGGGCTCTCTGTGGGCCACCATGTATGAGGCATTTTCCAGCAGGTCGTTACCATCAGCCATGAACTCAGTTAGGTGGGCGATAGCGATGGCAAGTATCCTCGCATGTACTCCGAAAACCAGAAATGCCTTGATTTGCACTCTTTCCCACCCTTATCACGTTCGCTGTGGCATGACCACTATGTGGTCACGCTCCCATGTTAAATCATAGGGACCGAAAACGAGCCGCAGGGAACGTGGTAAACGACGTACCGTGCTGAGCCAGGCCTCCGGGGGAACATTGGGCGCGACCGTCTTGGGCCGCCTCAGGTTGGCGTCGATCGGGAGCACCACCGTTCCGACGACCAGGAGGCACAGCAGAGGCAGCCAGACGGGGCCGGCCAGGGGCGCCATCGTCGCCATCGGGGTGTTCGTTGATGGGGATGCGCGTGTAAGTCGCGGTCCTCGCGCGGTGCGCACCCGACGCTGAGCCCGCGGTGTCTGGTCTGGGCTCGCCTGGCCTCAAGCTCCTTCCGCGGGTCTTCCGTCGAGCCTCGCAGGTCCATCATTAGCGACGTCAACACCTTTTTATTTTAATGTTTTTATTTTTTGTGACAGTGCGTGTTTGGTAGCATTAGTAGCACGATGGGCCGGTCAATCAATCTCGGCAATAGGATTCTAGAAAACGCTGCCCACGAATAAAATTTTACATATATGCAAAAATATATTTTTGTTTTGTGGTTATTGCTTTGCAGAAACTACTATTGGCGTCATAGAAGTCAAAGAAGCCCCCCCCCCCCCCCCCACCCAATCCCCGAGTCACTGATGTGTCATTGACTCATTAAAATGACGACAAAGTTTAGTCAATATGTATTTTTACAAAACGCAGAAAAAAAATCAGTTCCGTCGCATGCTAATTTTTTAACAGTTCGCCGAGTTAAAGTTAAGGAGATTTTGCAATTCTGCTAATTATTTCCTGGGCCGCTTTTAAACCTTATTAGCACCGGTGCAAATCTTGGTTTCAGCAACGTGATTAGAACCGGGGCTAAAATTTTAGCTGAGTCTATTCAGTAAGAGAAAATTAGCACCGGTGCTTAACTTTTGAGCACCCGGGCGAACTTTTTTCTGCGTGAATGATGAGGTGTTTTCTCTTGAAGAGCACGGCCATATTTTTGTGATTGAAAAATTACATAATTGGGACAGTGGAGACATTGTTGCTTGACAGTCCTAATCATCTTCTTCACCAGTAGAAATTGTCACTGCCTAGGATTCAAACCAAACGAGCCAAGTTACCTCCTTCTGAGAAAATGGGTCCGGTTTCATTGCTTATACTTTAGACTAATGTGATATTGATATTAACTTGACTGTTTCTATCTCGTTTCTATCATATTCCAAAAGACGGTTAAAAAAAGTGTCACGTTTTAGTCAGGGTTGTCGTATTTTGAGTCAGAACACCGCAGGTGGGTGTTGTGGCTGTACGATCAGAATCGTGTCAATATTTTGTTATTTTGTCGACTGCTGCTTGGGCCTGCAGAAAAAAACAAAACAAACGAAAGCCTTCTTCTGTACCGAGGCCCGCGGCAGACCGCGGCGTCATTAGCCCAGTATGGAACGGAACGTCGCCTTTGCCGAATGACGCCTTTAGGACGCGCGGGTCGGGTCGGGCGGGACTGCAAAGCAAAAACAACGTGGAACTTGTCGACCACGGAAGTATCTCGAAAGTGTCGCCCTGGTGTCAGTGGTGTCACGCTGCGACGCTGCGACGCTCTAGAGAAGACCGAACTGAACGAGCACTCATCCTTTCGCGGGGGATTCGATCTCCGACGTCCAAAACCCCACTACAACACAACGCTGGCGGACGCCGCTGTAAACGCAGAAACTGGGAGGCCGCCGTGGACATCTTAACGCGCAGCAAAGAAGAGTGCCCGGAAGAGCTCGTTTGTTTTTGCGCCGTCTGCCTCGGCCTGGCCGATCTTTACGCTCTTCTTATTATTATTCTCCTTCTTTACGCTTAAGCTAATGGATCGTCCAGAAAGTACGTCCGATTTTTCTTTTCCAATAATTTAAGCCAACGGAGCTATAGGTGCCTGCGAGAGTCAAGGTAGGCCATCCCGCAGTACGCGCATGCACTGCAGGCCAGATGTTGCCTACTTACCAGGCGCTACGAGAGTGTGCCGAGGCTGAACTTGGCAGGTTCGTAACGGCGAATGACGGGCGTGCTTTCTGGGTGATCCCAAGCTGAAGCTATATATGCACAATTGAAACATAGGTGCTGATGACGACAGTGGACGGCAGCGAGCATTGAAAGAATCAACGAGGAGTTTAAAAATAACTACCCGCTACTGTCAAAACAATAACAAAAAATCAACGAGAAAGCAAGGGTGAATCCACAGAATCTGACTGCACTTTTGAAATTGTGCTTATTTGTATCTAGTTCATGCGTGCAAGGAGTAAATGGAAGAGCGACTTATCGGTTTGAGAGGCTCCCAAATGGGCTACATCAAAATTCAACCATTATCAAGGCAGAGCTGTTGTGCAAAAATGCCCTTAAAACATGTCCAAACACTCTTCATCCCACTCGG